TGTGCAATCACAGCGAGAGAAATAATGCACTCAAACTTTGCACGACACTTCTGATTATTACGAGCATTTTGAGGCCGAGTGTAACCGAGTCTCCTGTCACATAACAAAACACGCTGAATATGTCAGCATTAATAAGCATACACACTAACGTTACGGATGCCTTAAGAAGTTACCAGATTGTTGCTTTAACATCCATTCACTAAGCCACACTCAGAAATTTCACTACCACAGAAATGACTGAGTCATATTATGAGTGCAAACTTCCCTGTAAAATCCTCTGTTACGGCCCTAGCAGGGCCGCCTCCTGAAGTCGTCTGTGTGGGGGTGTCCGACCATCTCTCCTGCCTTACTTGCCACCTTTCCCTTTTACACAGCTGACTCACATCAGTAATTAAAAGTATTTAAGCCCAGGGAAAGGTGAGCTCTGGGCCAGAGTGCCATTAGTATGGTTACAGCTAGTGAGCTGAGTGTGTTGCGGTATTTGCAGCTAGTGAGCTGCGTTTTTGTGGTTTTCAGCTAATGAGCTGCGTGTCTGTGTTTGCAGCTAGTGAGCTGCACCCTTTTTGACTTCCTTTGTGCTTTATTGACTAACATTTGAGTTTTGTTTGTTTCTTTAAATGGTGATAGCGGCTTGTCCGTCTCTTTTAGTTGAGCTACTTCAATAAAACTCTTTAATTTAACCCTTATGCCTTCTCATCTCCTTTTTCTGACCTGGACACTTTTTGTTACTTCCCCTCACCGCCTAGACCCCTCAGGGGAACGTAACATCCTCTAAAAGTGTAAAAATGCTCTGTGCCCTCAGGTGAACACTATGAGCTGCTATAAACCGTCCTTTGACTTTGATTACAGTGACCAGGAGCATTAAAGGTTCACAGAGGTCTGATGTTATGGCAGGTGAAGTTCTGCTCATTATGACCTATTTGATCCGGATAAAGAAGCAATGAACTGAGCGATATCTGTTGGCAGCGGACGACGTGACTTTTCACGCTCCTCACTTCTGTGTTTGGGTGCGAAAAATGTAAAATCATCTAATCTGCCTGAGCAACGCAGCCACATGTCAAAATCCTAATCTGAGGGAAATGAGGGAGTAATTATCCATCACATACATTCACTGGTGATCATCACATTTAATAAATGAAGTGACATTTACAGTACATTTACTAAATAAATGAGGGTCTTTGTAAGAAATTATTTTTTTATATCCTAATTTAACATTTATTGAAACATTTAGCGATACTTTAGAAGACATTTGAACCCAATAAAGAGTAAGCCACCAAAGCCCTGGCTGTCCCTCACTCCATCCTCCTATAAAAGGGCCCATCTGTGTGGTGATAATCAGAACTATTGATTGTCATCTTACAGGTAAGTTATGGCCATTTCTTTGCCTTAGAGGAGAATACCTCTGGTTTTTATTTGCCTTTCAAATGATTTTCTGTGTTCCCATAAACAGATGTTAAAAAGATATTTTCCTGCTCATCTTCATCCATTACCTTTTTACTGGAAGGACCTGTAAACATTTACAGTAAGTGGTGCTCTTCTGATGTTAAGACTCGCTCTCTCTCCCTCTCTAGTTCACTTTGCATCTCTCTCC